CTCAGAGAGAAACAGTATAAATTAACTATGGCAGTTGTTTGTCTTGTTTTCTAGAAGCCATGGCAAATGGCAAAAACATTGTTTGACTGACAGCCATCAGGCCATGCTTGCTAGCACTTCCCCTTGAGCTATTTTTTATTCCCTTATGAGTTACTTTATTTGACTTATTTTGTGTTATGCTTGCATAGTAACATCTGTGTTTACATCGGGGAAATGTGTAACACGGGCACAGAATGGAAAGAACTGACTAAAGATCCAGACTCACTGGATGTGGCTTTGAACAACAATGAAGGGGCTAAACTGTACTAATGACAGTTACAAAATAAATAAATACACTGAAATAAAAATAAAACCCAACTTTGACAAAAAGGACACACTCTCTACTAGTAGGCTACTATCCATTTACATGTATGTGCCACTGTGAAGTTATTAAAGAACATTCTATACCTGTGCTAAAGATTCTACATGGCTAACACTGATAGCTGGAGTGTTGCACAATAAAAAAAGAGCCAAATTACCTAGTGCTATGTTTACGCCCTTAGTAGTCATTCAATGCCTACCTAACCTAGGTCTGACCTGATATCACTGTGACCATCTGATAGAAATTTGGGAGATGTACTAACTTAATACAAAACCAGGTTCCGCCGACCCAGAAATTAAGAATATCGTCAGATACTATCTGAAATCTGGAACAGAGATTCCCCTCCATTGCTGTAACCCATCTGTCTGGATTTGAAAAGCGCTGTGATTGGTGGCTTTCTTCTCTGAAACTGAAAAACTTGTGACAGTTGTACACATTGGAACCTGGTATTTAGGGCAACCCCATTATTTGTTAGTTTGTCTGGTTTGGCTTATTTGTTTTTGAGGTAGGTCTCACTATATGAGTTCCCTCGCTAGTTTGGAACTCACAGAGATCTGTCTGTACTCAGTACTCAGTACTCTGCCTGAGTACTGAAATTAAAAGTCTGTGCCACCCACCACCCGCAGCCATGGACAACCATGTTTCTGGGTCACAGTCGCTCATATTTGGCTCAGAACGGACTCTCTTGTTCTCCTTAAAGGGAGAGTCCTGCTTTGACTTCACACCAATGTGTTTCCTTCTCATCTCCAAACATACATGCTTATTTAGAAAAACAAGGAGAGCGAATAAGAAAGGGAGGTGACCCCAGCACTGACTCCCTTTCAACCTTGCCACTCCTGACATTTCTCCCTTATGGTGGTGCTAGGGTGGAAAATGAGACTTCCACTGAGAATTATCATGATATTATTATCTCATAATATTATTGTACTATCGTTTCCTGGAGCCTTTTTTCAAGACATAAAACAGTTGCTTTGCCTCTTTATCTACAGCAGAAAATTCAGATCAAGGGTTTGTTTGTTTGTTTGTTTGTTTAGCAGGCACACAGAGAAATATACCTCTGACACTAGGCACAGAGCACTAAAGAGAACTTTAAAGTATTCAGTCTTTTATAATATTAAGCTAGGTAAGTCTTTCTAAACATGAAGTCATAAAAAATGTTGGATTGACTTGACTATGTAAAACTTTATTCTATATTATACAAATTAGTGGCAAGTAATTGTGCTTTAAAGATAACAGGGCAATAAATGATTTAAATTCATAATAAAAAATTGAATTGATTTCAAAATTCTGAGTTCTGGCAAGACTTTTCATCATTGCCCTTACATGTTGTTATGTGTCCTCCCCTTCCCCTTCTACTTTATAGTATTGTTATTATTACTATTATTATTTATACAGTATTCTGCCTGTGTGTACACCTGCAGGCCAGAAGAGGGCACTAGATCTCATTATAGATGGTTAAGACCCGCCATACTGTTGTTGAGAATTGAACTCAGGACTGTCGGAAGAACAGCCAGTGCCCTTTACCTCTGAGCCATCTCTCCAGCTCCCCATTTCTACTTTTAATTTACTTTCATTTTATGTGGATGGATGCTTTCCCTGCATGTATAACTGGGGGCCACATGAGTGCAGCGCCTGTGGTGGCCAGAAGAGGGCGAGAACTCACTTGGGACTGGAGTCACAGGTGTTTGTAAGCCACCCTACCGGTTGGAGAAATTAAACTGAAGTCCTGCAGAAAAGCAAACAGGGCTCTTAACTGCTGAGCCATCCCCAGCCATGTTACGACTATTTTTTTTAAAAGAGCCTCAAAAAAATCAATGAGAGAATAATTATCCTGGGAATGTGCGGGAAGAATGAATGCTCTTCACTACTGAGTTTCTTGGGCATGTGACCTGCACCATAGCAGAGGGCTTGCACGCATTAGGAACCCGTTCTTGATGCAATGCTAGACTGTCGTTTTGAATTTTTTGACAGTTTTTGAAGAGCGGGAGCCTGCGTTAACATTTGCAATGAACCTTGGAAAGCGTGGAATATGACATGCAAACTACCGGCAAAGCAATAATATCTTGTGCCAAAGAAAAACAATAAAATGCTTAAGAAATAGCCCTTACACTGAAAAGTTCATAGCTTAGAAGTACAAATAAGAATAGTAACAGACTTAGAGTCAAAGGAAGTTTGCAGTAAAATGCGCAGGAGAGGTGAAACTCCAGAGAGCAAAGATGACAGCTCCATAGGATTAGCATTGTCAGGAGAGCGAGCATTTCATTGGATTCAAAAGAAGAAGAAGAAAAAACGTAACCAATGACAACTGGGAGAAAGGGCAGATGAAGCATGGGAATAGGCTCACATCACATGGAATTATTCGGTTTGTGTATCTCAGGAGCCCAGGCTGAGAAAACCAACCAGCTGTCGGAGAACAGCCTAGAACATCCAGCCAACGAGAGTAATCTAGCACTAACCATGAGCCATTAAGTAACAGTCACAATTTCAAAAGATTACGGCACACACGGATGGCTGCCTCGCCAACTATCTAGGCTCTCAGCACCACTGTGCTAGCTAACACATAGGGTGAACTTGTTTTGCACAGCGGCGAAATATAAAGTGACATCAAAGTTAGAAATGCCCCTTCTCTTTTAGTCCACCTGGCAGTTCTGCTTGCCCTAAGCTAAAGAAGGCCAACAGCAAAAAGCAAGTTCGACAGAGACATTAATATTCAGAGTGTCAAACCAGATTATAAAACTAAGACAACTCTGATTTTACACACACACATGCCCCTCCATCTTCTAAAGAGAGTGCTAGCAGAATTGTCTAAAAGCATTTGATTGCCACTTGGGCCGTTCCTTGAGATTACTAATTCATGGAAGCTAAAATCAACATCTTAAGAACTCAAGCTGAGATACTGCAGACAAATGACAAGCTCCAGCCCCCACACAAGCATTTCATTAATTACCAACTGAAGTTTTCATTAGAGTGCTGTCAGATCAATAGCTTTGCACGTTAAGACTTGAAATGAATGTGTGTTCTGTAGCTTTTTCTCAGTCTCTCAATACACACACACACACACACACACACACACACCAGTGAACACATATGTGTCCTCCCACATAAGCATGGAATCTCAAAATCTTAATTTCCTTTCAAACTATACCAAACTTCATAAGAAATTTATATTTCCACGTCTCTAATCACACTGAGGGGAACAGAAAAACACCCTGCTGACATCAAACTATTTTAATATGTTATTACTTGATATTAAATTAGAATTTTATTGTCCCTTCAGCAGGAATATAACAAAAAGATTTCATGTGGAAATGAAAAATGTATAAAAGATGAAGCAGAAACAAAATTAATTAACAGAAATACCCAAGTAAGGGACATTAAAATTGTATTTTAAGAAACTCAGTAGATATCTATGAAGATATATCAGTGAAATGAAGTACGAGTTTGACTTGTTAGCTCCATTTTAATCACATATTTACACAAAGTGAAACAGTAGAAATAAAAAGTTTAATATTCTAGCCTTCAAAAGGGAAATGTCACTCTACACTGTCTTTGTTTCACACGATCTGTACATTGCTCTTCAGTAATGTTTCAGTCCTCAAAACTAGCAATAATACAAATTGTGCATGTGTGGGTGTGTATGAATGGCGTGCGTGTGTGGGAGCGTGTATGTCTGTGTGGGCGCACACGGGCAAGGCAGGAGGAGGACATCAGGTGTCCTCTATCTCTCTCCACCTTAGTCTCTTGAGACAGGGTCTCTCACCATTTTAGTTAGACTGGCTGACCAGCAGGACCCAGCAACACGCTTATCTCAGCCCCTCCCCCGAGGTGCTGGGATTGCCTGTGGCACGTGACATGCAGGTGCCTGCCGTGCCCAGCTGTTTTTCTATGTCCTCAGGCTTGACAGCAAGGATTCTCAACCACTTGGACAGCTGTTCTTGTAAACAATATGTAAACAATGCAAAATACGTTTAAAGTTACTAGAATTGCCAATGTTCCTTTCAAAAATAAAATTTATATATATATATATATATATATATATGTCAAAGTTTAATGACAGTGACTATCAGTGATTTTCTGAGAAACGAGAAGTTGGCTTTCTATTAAAATCCTAATCCTATGTTAAGTTATCAGAATAATCTATGAATAACAAAAGAAACTGGGAATAAATGAATTTGGGAAATTGATCTCAGGATTACAGGCTAATAAGCTGCCTCGTGGAACTTCACTTCTTAAGCTCTGTGGCCTTTCCTATGGGAGCCCACAGGAGGCAGCTCGGTGAGGCGCGGTGGGATAGGCACCATGCAGAGAAAGCAGTATAAGCACATTAACAAGAGAATTCTGAAAAGGAACTAACCATCCTTTCCTGCTCAAGTGAATTCTCGTTTGAGTTGCTGAGAAAACTCTGAATGTCTGAGTACACGTGATAAAATGTGGATGTCCCGAGGCCACCACACATGAATCCTGAGAACCAGCAGCAGAAATACAAGGCCCACCAAAGCCTGGCCCTTTTACAAATAAAGGCAATTAAGACTGGGATAAAAGCACACACACACACACACACACAAAATATATCTGCATTTCAGAGAGGCACCAAAGTCTCCCAAACAGAAAGAAAAAAAAAAAAAAGTAAGTGTCCTACCTTTTTAAAAATTCCATATACTCTGTATGCTTGATGAGTCCTGTCCTCATCATTATTGTCTGAAAACATTGTCGATCAATGGCCCAGAGTTTCACATTTACCAGAGCTGGAGAAAGAGAAAACAAAGCAATTGGTAAGAAATTAATTAGGGAATTTCACTTGTGAGTAACACCCTGTAAAAGAGATGAGTTATTCATGAGAGGTATGAAAATGATTAACCTTTTACACATATTTAAAGCTAATAGTACTAAGCTGTCCTGTTTCATCAAAAAGTCAGCTATGTTTGCTGACAACTGGTTCCCATTGCTTCTATGTCCCTAAGCATCCATTCGAAAGCATACATTAAAGTCTGTGCAGGAAGGAAATAGCTTAGGGTAAAAAAGAGGCTCCCAAGAAATAATTCTCCGTGGGAACCATCCAGAAGATTATTAATGACTCATATAATCATATTTTAATTATAAAAATACAAATGTAATAATTAATTTCCACTTTGGGTATATTCCACGTAACAGAAATAATAATTATGCAGCAATCTCTACACAATGCTTGTTTAACAAATTGTAACTTGTACACAAACTATGTTGAGGTTTTATTAGATGTGTCTGTTGAATTGTAATTTCTTCTCTTACATCCTCTATCATTGACGAAGTATAATTAAATGTTGAAGTTAAATACCACAGAATCACTACATGTGTGACTAAGACAAGCTTAGGAACAAAATGGCAGATGTAACAGAATGTCATACAGCAATTTATCAAGGTAAACTTATGTTTAAAATAAAAGATAGCATATTGGGGGCTGGAGAGCTCAGCAGTTAAGAACACTGACTGCTCTTCCAGGAGACCGGGGTTCAAGTCTCAGCACCCAAATGGCAGCTCACCAACATCTGTAATTCCAGTTCTAGGGCATCCAACATCCTCTGCTGACCTCCAACAGGCAACAGGCATGTGTGTTTTGCACAGACATACATGCATACAATACATCTATGCACATAAAGTAAAAAAAAAAAGAGTTAAAAGTTAAGCATATTAAAACCTTCGTAAATGATCCTGTGTGGTCTCTACCTTTAAGTATATAACTTTCATAACAGAAAATATGTTAAGTTAGCATGTATGTCGATGTATTGTGATTAAAAAAAAAAACTTCTACATTCTAAGAGACTGAAAACTTTTGCTGGAACTTATAACCAGAGTTAATAAGACATCTTAAGGTTACCTAAGACTGCTATCCTGCTGTGTACACAGCCTGTGTGTTTAACGGACTTTGAAGAGAACCATGTAACAATCAACCTTACTTGCCTTGGATTTCCCGTAGAACCAACTTTTACAACTTAAGTTAATGCATAGCTGTAATCTTAAGTTATGTGTTCTTATATTCCCCTGACTCAGAGATAATGTTTTTGTATCCTTTGCTGAAAACAGCAATACAGAAGTTGAAAACAATCTTCTGAGATTAATATCCACCATAAATGTTGAGGCAAGACATTTGGATATTGCTTGATAAACAATGCTGTTTATAGTACTGTTTTTTATCTGGTCGGTGGAGACCGGTTGGAGCCGGTGACTTAATCTATTGTAAAACTCTGTAAGATTCTGTAAAGTATCCCATTTTCCCAGTAGTGGTGGTTTCTGTGCTACTCAATTAATACAGAGTGAAGCCTTTGTTAGGGACAGAAACACAAAGACAGAAGACACAGACATACTCCGACAAACAGACAAATAGACAGGTAATGATTCAGATGGAGGATAGACAGATGGAAAATGGAAGATACAGAGAGCATGAAGTAAATAGTTCAAATCGGAACTTGTTCTTGGTTAAATTTTTTCAAGGCTAAAGTGCATTTTATTTCATTCCTTAGTACGTCATTGGAGTTAATCACATGCCAGCATGAGAACTTTAAGAGACCAGATGATATACTATCCCTGAAAATATAGAAGGGGCAAGAGCAGATGGTACTGAATGATACTGCTGGGTGGGGCCACAATACGCTTAGTTCAAGTGAACATAGTCAAATGGAGAGAGCCAAGCTAGGGGTTGGGAGGAGAGGAAGTGTCACCAGCAGAGTTAGAACACACATGTCTCATGAGGGGATGGGACAGAAGCAATGGGGAAGGAACAAGACATAAAGAAGACAAATGGAGTATTAGACTCTAGAGTCAACCCAGCTCTGGAATTTTACCTAACTCTCTTTGCAAATCTCTTTGAGGATAAGAAACTGGAACATGGTTTCCCCCTTGTCTCTTTTGTCAATGGTGAAAAAACATTAAGTGAAGTAAAAGGGGAGGGGGTAACAGAAAGAAATCATATGTGCATGACTCCTTTCCCAACAGTTATTGAAAATGACACTTCCTCAAACAGTCATCACGGGTGTCCTCCAGCCGCAGTCTACCTCTTCTGATGACTCCAGGCTCGCTTCCAGAACAGCAGTTTACATAACACAAACCATAAGACTAGGTGGTATAAAGACAGAGAGGTGGAACACCAGAAAAAAAAATAACTCAGGTATAGACCCACAAGGAAGACCTTGGTAAATGACAAAGCTTGAGTCTGAAGGGAGGTGGATGAAGTCTACACAGGTTAGGAAAGAATAGGAGCCAACGTCCAGCCAGGAATAAGCTACGGAGACCAGTACCATGAAGCGACTGGCTGAGATTTCTGTATATTCATGGCATAGTTTGAGAGTGAGCTAATACAGGACTATGGAACACAGGTTTATGAAGTTAGAATTCATTCTATAAAAAATGGAAAACTGTTAGAGATCTTTAAAATACAAAATAAAACAAAGCAAACAACCAAAATTTAAAGGAATATACCTTGGGTATATCAATGTATCTTTAAGCGGTTATGTGTAACAAAATTAAAAAAAAATTCTAAGCTCGTCATCATTTTTAGCAGGTGTTAAGTATGGTACAATACATATACTCACCACCAAAGAAAAAAATCGGGATGCACCCTCAATGTTACTAAGCTTTTACGTTTAACATATTTATTTTCATTGTGTGTATGTGTTGGTGAGTATGTTCGTGTACATGGGTTGTGCATGCCAAGGCATGAATGTGGAGGTCAAAGGACAACTTGCAAGAATAAGTTCTTTCCTTCCACCATGTGGGTCCCAGAGATGGAGTATGGCTTCTCAGGCTTGGTGTCAGATACCCCTACACCCTGATCCACGCTGCTGGCTCCAGTGTCACTATTCTTTATAAGGATGATCAACTGACACACATACAGTTTTCAAACACACATTAGTTGATGACTGGAAATGAAACAACTAAGTGAAGTTCAGAGTGCTTGCATATTTAAGCTGTAGAGAGCGCCGCAGGGAGGCTTACTACTTCCACCCTCTGAACAGCAGCGCATGAGGTCTTCTTTATAGGCTTTCAAAGCCACCGTCATAGCGACAGCAAAGAAAAAGAATCTAGGAGAGTCACATGTTAGAAGATCCCTGAATCAAGTGCTTTATAGACCAGTAATGGCGCCAATAAATAACAATTCATAGACCATCTGTGAGCATAGTAGTAATATGATGGAAAGTCTGGTAAGAAAAACCATTTTTGTCATTTGCCTTGTGAACAGTTTTAAACAAAGAGTGAATAATACCACAAGCAACTCAGGATTCATTCAAAAGAGGAGGTTACGCTGAGTTTGGCAGCAATAAGAATAAGAAGAAGAGCATGGCGATTTGGGTGTACCCTGTGGAGTGTAAGTGTGTAACTTTGTGTGTATTCCGTGTGAAAAGGTGCCTTTGAGTGTATCTGTGTGGCTACGTGTGCCTGTCAATGAGTGTATGGTGTATCTGTGTAAGTGTTCCTGTGGTCATGACATATGTGACTAATACTGCCTTTATCTCTTGTACGTGTATTTCATGCTTCCTCAAAAAAAAAAAAAAAAAAAAAAAAAGAATATGTTCTCCCAGAGACAAGTTCCTTGTTACTTTCTGTTATTCCAGCAGTAGAAATTGGCTTTTCTTTTTTTTTTAATTTTTTATTTATTTTTTTTATTAATTACACTTTATTCATTTTGTATCCCCCCATAAGCCCCTCCCTCCTCCCCTGCCGATCCCACCCTCCCTCCCCTTTCTGCATGCATGCCACTCCCCAAGTCCACTGATAGGGGAGGTTCTCCTCTTCTTTCTGATCTTAGTCTATCAGTTCTCATCAAAAGTGGCTGCATTGTCCTCTACTGTGGCCTGGTAAGGCTGCTCCCCCCTCAGGGGGAAGTGATCAACGAGCAGGCCAATCAGATTATGTCAGAGGCAGTCCCTCTTCCCATTATTATGTAACCCACTTGGACACTGAACTGCCATGGGCTACACCTGTGCAGGGGTTCCAGGTCATCTCCACGAATAGTCCTTGGTTGGAGTATGAGTCTCTGGGAAGTTCCCTGTGTTCAAATTATCTTGTTCTGTTGCTCTGCTTGTGGAGTTCCCGTCCCCTCCAGCTCTTACTTTTTCCCACTTCTTACATAAAATTCCATTCACTCTGCCCATCAGTTGGCCATCAGGCTCAGCATCTGCTTTGACAGTCTATACTGCAGAAGCTTTCAGAGGCTCTCTGTGTCAGGTTTCAAGGTTGTTTCCTGTTTTCTTCTGGCTTTCAGAGGCCCTCTGTAGCGGGTTCCGAGGTTGTTTCCTATTTTCGTTTTCTTCTGATGTCCATCCTCTTTGCCTTTCAGGATGGGGATTGAACATTTTAGTTAGGGTCCTCTCTTTTGCTTAGTTTGTTTAGATGTACAGATTTTAGTGGGTTTATTCTATATTGTATGTTTATATGAGTGAGTATATACCGTGAGTGTCTTTTTGCTTCTGGGACAACTCACTCAGGATGATCCTTTCCAGGTCCCACCATTTACCTGCAAATTTCATGATTTCCTTATTTTTCATTGCTGAGTAATACTCCATTGTATAGATGTACCACAGTTTCTG